AAGTAGGAGTAAAAGGAAGCAAAAGCCTTGAGTCACGACCAGAAACATCAGCTAGCTTTAGTCAGAGCTTCTTACTATCACCAACAGCAACAAACAGCGGCAGCTGACACTAACAAGCCCAGCACTTCCCAGCACTTTACACGCACACACCGTCTCCCTCCACAGCAGCCCCCCAAAAGAGCTGCCCCACCCAGACCATGCCAACAAGGCAGCTGTACAAGGACATGCTGCACCTCACCAGCGCAAAGCTGTGGCTGTGGTCTGACAGTCCAGCAACGTTTCAAGGAAAAAAAGCAGGGAGGCAGGCTACCTGAGGCAGGCTACCTGAGGCAGGCATGGATTTCTGCCTTTTCCAGTGGTTTCAGGTCTGAGGAGAGAAAAGCCTAGTGGCACAGGCCAGCAAGGGCTGCCCTTTCTCCAGCACTGACTGCACCACAGGAACGTGGGGACCCAGGGGTGCCCATGACCCGGACAGACAAGCGAGGAAGCTGGGTCACAGGCCACATGGTGTGGTTCTGAAGCCACATTCCTCATCACAGAATTCACGTAAGCCTCTCACAGCTATGTGTCAGAAGCAATTCATCATTCAGATTCAGTCTCAATAATTTTCACTGTCGAGTGAAACCATGACAGAAACCTCCAATAGTGAACGAAGAGCACAGATCAGCAGAGAAGCAGTGCCAAACGCTTATGTTTTAATCACAGGCCAAGGCATGATTAAAATAATGAAGTAAAACAGGTGGTCTGAACTACTCATACTTGAAATCCCAGGCAAAGCCCTTTCCAAAACCCGAGGCAGCCTTTCAGAAGGGGATGGTGTTAGAAATGGTGACAGGTCCTGCTCCAGACCCAGTTCTCCCAGGGCGACCTGGAGGTGACAACAGTAAGCTCACTGTCCAGCCCAGACACTAACTTTAGAAATAAGAGAACCGTTTAGTCCCAGAAGCCCAGAGGGGAAGAAACAGTCCTGGAGAGAGAACACTCAGCTGCGGATTATCAGCGCTGGGGTCAGGCTAAAAGGGACTAAGGCTTTGGAAGTACAACAGCCGCATTCTAGGTCCTGGCTTGGCCGAGTCGCCTTGCTTGTCTCTCAGCCTATTTTCAGCTATAAAACAGTAGCAATTGTATAGACCGCCATGGCGGTTACATGAGGTAAGATACATAAAATGGCTGGCCACCCCCTCAAGTGCCAAGCCCTTTCTGTGTGCCAGGCAAGTGTCAGTGTGGTCCACCTCCATCCAACTCATCATTCCCAAGTTCTGTCTCTGCATGGGATCAAGTTTTGAAGTCTCTTGGTTTAAGCCAAGTAACAATGCCCGTTTTGCTGTGCTCTTGAGAAGCCCTGCAGCCTAACAGGTAAAATAGACTGCCCAGTTAAGCGACAGCTCCTGCCCTGGACAACCCTACAGGGGATTAATTAATCAATCAATTATTTATTCTTGAGAGGTCTCATTGTGTCACCCAGGCTGAAGTGCAGTGGCACAACCTTGGCCTCACTGCAACCTCTGCCTCCCAGTTCAAGTGATTCTCCTGCCTCAACCTCCCCAGTAGCTGGGATTACAAGTGCCCACCACCAGGCCTGGCTAATTTTTGTGTTTTTAGTAGAGACAGGGTTTCGCCATGTTGGCCAGGCTGGTCTCAAACTCCTGATCTCAAGTGATCCACCCGCCTCAGCCTCCCAAAGTGTTGGGATTACAGGCGTGAGCCACTGCACCCAGACCCCTAGAAGGAATTTAGAACAAAGTTCTTCAGAGTTCTAGCAGATCAGTTTGATTGGGCAGAACAGCATTTTTCTTTTCAAAAATGAAACAATAAAACACAGAGTAGATACAGGAAAGGCAGTTTGCTCCAGCTTTATACCTAGTTATGTCAGTACGATGGGTCTCAATAAAGTGTCTAACTGCGGACAGTTTCAAAACAGTTTGCAGGCTACCAGTTTAGACGCACTGTGGGTCAGAGCTCCTGCCCCGGGCAGTTTATAAGGAACCATGCCAGGAAAGACAAGACCGTACCAACATGGCAGCCACACCTCACTAGGAGCCAGCTTGCAGGGTGTGCTCTGATGACCCAGCTGAGGGTTCAGAAAACAAAGCAGGCAGGCAGGGTGCCTGAGCACAGCCCTCGTCTCATGCAGAGGCCATGAGCAAAAGACTCACAAGAGGAACGGGCCATGTGGAAAACAGGAAGCTAATTTGTGAAGGGACTGCATGGGCCTGGTACTTCAGCAGACCCTCAATCCCCAACCCAGCAGGGCTCACTCAACAGGGCAATACGAGCAGGCAGGGGCGCCCACACAGGTGAGACTGGGAGGCGTGCCAGGAGGGATGAGCCCGCACTGTGGAAGGGCAGGATGCCTGCAGCCAGGGGGACATGGGAAGCTTCCACAAAGGGCCACTTGAGTGGACAGACAGGTAAGATCCAGGCTAGAGGCCAAGAGCAAGAGGCACTCTGACAGCATAAGCAGTGGCCAGGAGACGCCCATAAGCAGGCTTCTTCACAGCACCAGAATTTGAACTGGGAATGGTGCGGAGTCAAAGTTGTTTTGCTCTAGATTTTTTTTTTTTTTTTTGAGACAGAGTTTCACTCTTGTTACCCAGGCTGGCGTGCAATGGTGCGATCTTGGCTCACCGCAACCTCCACCTCCTGGGTTTAGGCAGTTCTTCTGCCTTGGCCTCCTGAGTAGCACCACCATGCCCAGCTAATTTTTTGTATTTTTAGTAGAGACGGGGTTTCACCATGTTGACCAGGATGGTCTCGATCTCTTGACCTCGTAATCCACCCGCCTCGGCCTCCCAAAGTGCTGGGATTACAGGCGTGAGCACCTGGCTTTGCTCTAGATTTTAAGGTCAGAACACACTACCTAGAGGTGTTGGGACAAGCCCCAGGAGAGAGGGGAGAGCCAGAGTAGAGACTGTGAGGTGTGGGGAGCCCCTAAGACGCATCTAGGGCAGGGTCTACATTCCATATGTGATCTGCACAGTGCTAAAGACAAGAAGGGCAGGAGATTCCTGAATCAGGTTTACCGTTTGTTAGTTTAAGAAGAGGGGAGGAAATCCTGCCTCAGTGCATATTTGTTTTAAGAGGGAAAAGAAAGGATCATGATTCTCAAACAATGAAAAAGTATTCCTGACCCTGGTACAGAGGTGCTATGTCTGTGGTCCCAACTATTCAAGAGGCCGAGACGAGGATAGGATCGGTTGAGCCCAGGAGTTCAAGGCTGCGGTGAGCCATGACCGCTCCAGGGCAACAGAGCAAGACCCTGTCTCAGAAAAAAGTATTCCTGGTAGAAAGACAAGAATGGTCATCAATGCTACTTACAAACTGGAGGAGTACTACAAAACATAGCCAATGAGGTCAATAACCTGCTAGCAGAAGCCCCCTGACTTCCCCAGAAATCTATTTTAGCTAGAAGAAGAAAGGGTCATCAGTCAAAACTTGTGCTTACAGCTCCGACTCCACCATCTGCAGTATCAAGATTCACCTGTTAAATCAACGGAGGATTTGGGAGGTGCACCTGGAATAAAGCTGCCGAGGCAGGCCGGCCATCCAAGTGGTACCCATTAAAAGACTGACTTGAACTCACGCAGTGACAACACGGCCACCACATCTGCACAGGCTGAGGACCCAGGAAGCACTGGCGGGGGCAGCGGCAGGCCTGGTCTGAGCCAGCACCACCAGCAGCATGACCTTGAGCTCCTCCTCCATCCCCAAGCCTGTTTCCTCATCTGTTACACTTGAGGATTAAATGAGAACCAGCATAAGATGTGGAGCCAAAGCAGGTGTCCAGAAATGACAGAGTATGACTGTCACTATATACTATGAAATTACCCTTCAAAACATTCCACTCCAAGAGGGGTGCTTGTGAAAAAGGGCAGGAGACTGAAAGCATCCACAACACCCGGCTGGTCTCACACTTGGCCATTTGTAAAAGCAATGGTCTGGGAGGGAGGAGCCCAGTTTAAAATCTGGGAGCGGCTGTTTTGCCATTTTGAAGGGGGAAGAATGATCCGCACAGGTCTTACAAAAGCCCCACCTTCCAAAAGGCAGCCCCTGGTAACCCCTGAGGCCTGACCTCACGGTAAGTAAAGTAGCTGAGAACACCTGAGGGGCTCCTCTGGCCTGGATTCTTAAACCAGCATGCAGTCCCCTCCTGGAAAGCGTTCTCTTAAGTTTCTGGGAATGCTGGCATTCTGGGAAGCACTCTCAGGAGGCCTTTTCTAACAGTCATATTCCTCCCAGAGGATCCAGGACACAAAATTTAATATGCGGGCTGGTGAATGAAGCGTATTCCAGTGGAACTGGGTTTTAACATGCCCGGTTGCCGTTGCAGCCTGACCACCTCATTGGGCCCTAGAGCTCGGGGCGCAGTCTCATCTCCATACAAAGGCTCCTCGGATCGCAGGCGGGGCCCTTCTGGCCTCTAAGGGGCTGCCTGGCCGGCCAGGCTCTGAAACCAGGGTAAGGACGACTCAAAGGACATGCTCGCTCACGCTCTCTCGCCATCCCAGTAAACGTGAACCCAGGAAGAAAATATGTGGAAACCCAGACACAAAGAGTGCCAGGGAGGAAAGAGCGCATCACCAGCGTGCAGAGTAAGCTCCGGCTGCTGAGGACAGATGCACGTGAAGCTGGCACACACGCACACCCGCACACATGCACACTCCCACACTCCACCTGCGCGGGGCCGCAAGGCCGCCGCAGGGCTGGGCAGGCCCCGGACAGAACAGGACTGGCGCCCGGGACCGGGCAGGCCTGGGGCGCAGGCAGAGGCACCGGCCCGCACCCCGACTCACCATGAACGCCGGGGCCTCAGAGGCGCGCGGCCGGCGGCTCCATGCCCAGCGAGCGGAGGGCCGGCCTCCCTCCCTCCCTCCCTCCCGGACCACGGGCGGGCGGCTCCACACACTGGCGGGGCGGGGCGGGGCGGCGCGGCAGGCCGCTCAATCGCGCGCGGATGCAGCGAGGCGATCCGCGCAACCGGCTCGGCGCGTCAGGCCTGGCCTGAGCCTCCCACGGGGGCGGGGCCGCCGGCGGGGCTCGAGCGGGCCCCACGGTGCGGCCCCACCCGCCACGAGCACCGACAACACGCGCGCCAACAGGCGGAGAGCCAGCTTCAGAGTTAAAGACCACCCGAGAGCTGACAAACGTGTTGCCAAAAGGAATGACGTAAAAATATTCGCACTGGTGAGCTCTGGGTGGCGGGGTGATGGGGAGTTCTTACTCTACAGGCTAGTGTCTCGTAGTGTTTCTCAGAGTATTCACAGGTGAGTTTAAAACGCCAGGGAGCACACACAACACGCGGAGAGCAGCCGAGCAGACGCCCCGGGGCTGCCTGGAGGGGGACGGACGCTGGCGGGAGCTCGCCCTTCAGCGCAGTGGGCTGTCTGTCGGTGACACCGCCGGTTTTTAAAAACAGTCCTTAAACTCTGACCCTACACCATAGGGACTGCGTCGGGCCAAAATTACTTCTAGTCAGCCGCGGCCCCACGTCCCAGGGCTGAACAAACCGGTCTGCGGCAACACGAGGCTTCCCGAGCAGATCTCCTGGGATTCACCGGCAGAAACGTCTCCATCAGAGGAAGCCTGTGACATCCGCCAGGATAAAATCAGAAGGACAGTGACAAGTGATAGCAAGGACGTAGAGAAGCTGGAGTTCTCCTAAGTCCTTGGTAGGAGTGTAAAATGGTGCAGCTTCTTGTATAATTCAACATCCACCTAGCATACTCCCAGGAACCCACCCAAGAGAAATATGATCACAGAGCATGCAGACATTCACAGCAGCACTGTTCCCACCAACCAGAACGTCCAGCAACCGCGGGGGCATATGCAGCATGGAAATGGCCACGAAAAGAAAGAAACTGCTGAGACATGAGCCTACGTGGATGAACCTCAAATACGCTATGCTAGGTGAAAGATGCCAGACAAGAACATTCCGTGATTCCATTTATGTGACACTTCTTAAAAAGGTCAATCTCCAGAGAGAAAGCAAATTCATGTTTGCCGGGGGTTGAGAGTGGGATCAGCTGCGAACAGGCACGAAGAAACTTTTTTGGGTGATGAAAAAATACAACTTCGGATGTGGAACGTATTTTAAAACTGGATTGCAGTGATAGTTGCCTAACTGTATACATTTATTGAAATCGTGGAACACTTACACTGAGTGGATCTCATGGTATATTATTTATACCTCAAGCCGTTTTTAAAAAGTAATAGGATACAAAGGGAGAGAGCCTGATTCTGGCTGAAAAGATTAGGGAAGGCCTAAGACAATTATCCAAAATGGGAAAATAAGGCAAAAACAGGAGTAGGGGGTATCCTTTCGATTCATTCCTGGGCAATTTCAGCATGGCTGCCCAAAGATTAATCCTCTAGGAGACTGTCCCTGTGCTATTTATTACTCCATTGGAGCCCAGATACTGTGACGTTACATATTAACTTGTAGATAATGTCTAAAAGAAAAGATAATCCCAAAGATTATGTTTTATTGTCACCAATTTGTTCGTTGAAAGCTAACCTAGCCATCTTACTCTAGTTCTTTTTCGGTTTTATGCATGTACATGTGTACACACACGCACAACCCCTAATTCCTCAAATGCTCTTGGCATAAGTTTTACCATCTTACTGGTCTCTTCAAGGTGTTAAATAAATCTTTGAGCTATGATCATTTAAATTTTTAAGAAGGTAAAAGTCATGAGAAAAAGAAGTGTTTTATATGAAGAAAATAAAGGGACATATACCTAAGGCAATACACAAACCTGACTAGATCCTGGTTCAAAAAGAACAGCGTGATACAACTGAGGAGGTGAGAACACGCTCTGGTATCAGCTGCTGCTGTGGAGTTCGCGATCGTTCTCCTGGGCGTGGTCAGTCATGGTTACGCAGGAGAATGTCTTTAAGAGCTGTGTGCTGAAGCATTTAGCGGTAAGACGTCGTCATACTGCAAATGGTTCAATTGTAAGACAACAGAGGCACAATAAGGTAAATACGGCAAAACGTCAGCAGCTGTTCCATCTAAGTGGGGCACCTGTGCATGGCTATTAAATTATTCCTGGGATTCTTCTACAGGTTTGCAATAAAGCCTTCAGATCTCATCTGAAACTCCCATCCTCACAGACACCCTCCCTGCCCAGTTAAACTACAGCAAGGGCCTGGCATTCTTGCCCCTAGCACCAGGTGCTGTTGCAGCACTTCAACATGTAATATGATGACCTAATTCGTAGTTCTCTCCCTCCCAAGGCTGTAAAACCTCTGGGTGTGGGGGAGGCCTAGCAACAGCACATGGCACAGGAGAGGCAGTTAAGCATTGGAGCAATCGCTGTGTGCCACAGGATGCATCTGTCGTTCCTTCCTTCCATCCATCCATCAGGCACTAATGGTGCTTGGCCCCAGGAGCAAAGGAACAAGGTTCCTGCCCCCGAATCGCCCACGGACCAGCAAACAGGCAATGATACACTCCCCTGGTGCTGGGTGCTACGACTGCGAAGCTTCTGAGGTTCAGGGGGGCCTCAGGAAGCAACTGGCCCAGCCTGAGGAGTGAAGGGTGACTTTCCAGAAACAATGCCTACAGCTGGAAGAGGGCTAACCTGTGGAGCTCCGTTCTCAGAGAGGGAAGCAGTCCTCAGGCTCTCCATGCCTCCTACCAGCACTCCTAAGAAGCTGGCCAGACAGAGCTAGCGCAGGAAGTCCACACTCACTAAACTTAAAACGTGGAGACAGCTGTGTTCAGTGTGCCTACCAAAGCACCCTGCCATTGCTTCCAGCAGGTTGTAACTTGCAAGTTACTTCAAAAATACTTTCTATTTCACATCTTTTTTTTTTTTTTTTTGAGATGGAGTCCCACTCTGTAGCCAGGCTGGAGTGCAATGGCGTGATCTCGGCTCACCGCAACCTCCACCTCCGCCTCCTAGGTTCAAGCAATTCTCCTGCCTCAGCCTCCTGAGAGCTGAGGCTACAGGTGCGCACCACCATGCGTAGCCAATTTTTGTATTTTTAGTAGAGACAGGGTCACACCATGTTGGCCAAGATGGTCTCCATCTCTTGACCTTGTGATCCGCCCACCTTGGCCTCCCAAAGTGCTGGGATTACAGGCATAAGCCACTGAGCCTGGCCTCTATTTCACATCTTAGAATTGAGCACCATTTATGAAATTTTTACTACACATTATACAGTGTGATAAGTTGACTTTTCCTAAATTTTGAAACTTAAACAACAATCAGAAGTTAGACAGCCTTGGCTGGGCATGGTGGCTTGCCCCTATAATCCCAGCACTTTGGGAGGCTGAGGTGGGTAGATCACCTGAAGTCAAGAGTTCAAGATCAGCCTGGCCAACACGCAAAAGCCCATCTCTGCTAAAAATACAAAAACTCCCTGGGTGTGGTGGTGTGCACCTGTAATCCTAGCTACTCAGGAGGCTGAGGCACGACAATCCCTTGAACCCAGGAGGTGGAGGTTGCAGTGAGCCAAGTTCACACCACTGCACTCCAGCCTGGATGACAGAGCAGGACTTCATCAAACAAATCATAAAAATAAAAGAAGTTAGAGATCTTTTTCCATCTCAATCTGGCATTGGGTTTCACATTGATCATGATCCATGTGTAAACAATCTCCCCCTCAAATCTCCTGAGTTACTGGGGCCCATTCCCAGGCTTCTTGCCTCCCCACCGGCACACCAGGTTCATGTGCTGATGTGGCTTTTCTGTAACATCGCTGTCTCTACCCTTTGAGGTCAAGGAGACAGTGATGATTCCTTTGTTCGTGGCAGCCTCCTAGCAGCCAGGCTGGCAAAACCAATGTTGCTACAAGCCACTGGACCTCACAGGGATTAAATGGTCACTGAAGGAACAAATTCATGTCCAATCCAGGAGATGCATTAAGTAAATCATGACAATCGCTTCTCGGCCTTTTGGCTAAGATCAAGTGTAAGTAAATCATGACATAGCTAAACAAACAGCCATTGCTTAGACTCAGTTAAGTGAAAATGAAATCGTAGAATAATTATGGATATGGGGAAATGCATATGTTGTCACAGAAATAAGAAAACAGTTTACAGAATGGTATGTTGTAAAACTGTGAAATCCATTCATCCATTTACAAATCTGGTAAGCTTACAAATTAACCATCCGTGAACGCTAGGTGCTGTCCCAAGTCCTGCAGAAAAGCAGTCAACAAACACACAAGGTCTGGTCCTTGCTCTCCTGCATTTATATTCTAGTGGGGTGAAGGGACAGTAAAGAAGCACACGGGCAAGAATATAACGTGGAGAAAAGTGCTGTGCAGAAAATGCCCCAGAGTCCCACAGCATAGTGGCTGGGAGGGGAGAGGGAGCAGCAGCGCTGACACTGAGCAGTTAGGGAAACCCTCCTGAGACGACAGTTATCTAGGAGGTGGCCTCAGAGCTGAGACCCAGTGGCAAGGAGCCCATGTGTGAGGAATCACGGTCCAGCACTCCAGGCAGAAGGAGGCGGAAGTACAAAGGTGGGGCAGTGAAAAACCTGGGGTGCCCAAAAGTCAGAAAGCCAGCGAGCAAGGCCAGGATGAAGGGGGTCACAGGAGATGGAGCCAGCCGGGCAGGGGTCAGACCAGGTGGTCCTTGCGAGGTCATGGCAAGGAGCGTGCATTTAGCCCAAATGTGGTAGGAAACGCTTAGACGATTTTAAGTAGAGGCATGATGTGATTTAATAATAGAAGAAAGAATATAATGAGAATGTTAGCAGGGGGTTATCTCTGGGTGACAGAATTATGGGTAATGCTCATTTTCGTTATGTTTCTATCAGATTCCCAAATTTCCTATCACCATTGTTAACTTTCATAGCCAAAATGCTATTTTAAAAGTAAAACAAAACCAAACCCCAAACCCAAATAAAGAAACCACAGTGGCACCTAAACGGAATTCTTAGGAGAGCCAGCGCCAGCCTGTGCAGGGGTGCACTCCAAGGCCATGTTCCCTCCCCTCCTCCTCCCAGCCCAGCTATAAGCAACCCCTCCCCATTTCTCTCAAGTTACCAAGGCTCTGTTCCCTCTGCTCAGTTATTCTCTCTTTCCCACACACCCCTAAAAACCTTGGAAACCACCTACTTATCCTCCAATACTGCGCTCATAGGTGACCTCCGGGGAGCGGTGTTTGCCTCTGAAATCTGGGTGGCCCTTCCCCAGGGCCCCAGCCCTGCTTTGATGCTGCCAGCGTTCTGCTTGGCCACCAGACTGTGGGCAGGCTCCACAGGCTGGTTCTGTTCTTTTATTAGAAAAAAAAAAAAAAATCCCAACTCTTAGAAGGCCTGGTTTAATTACTAAATACAATTATTTCCCCTACTTTGACCAAATATTACTTATAACTCAGTGCCTTGGCTGCGCCTTCGGAGTCCAGTCCTGAGTGGGAGAGTCCTGAGGTGAAAGGACGCCCTATCCTTTGAACTCTCCTACAACAAGGAACAATGGTGGATGCCCACAGCCCACATCCATTTTGAAATTCTACAGAAGCCGCCAATCAAAGGCTTCCATGTGCCCCCACGGGGCTCTCTGACGCACACTCTCTTATTCGATCCTCACAACCCCACGAGGTAGGTACTGTGGGAGGCAAAATAATGGCCCCCCAAACATGTCTACCTCTTAATCCCGGGAACCTGCAGATGTCACCTCATACGGCAAGAAGGGCTTTGCAGACATAGTTAAGGTTAGGACCCTGAGATGGGGCAATTATCTTGGATTATTCAGGTGGCTTAAAATCAGCACAGGCGTCCTAAGAGGGAGGCGGGACTGCAGAAGGGGGCAGGCACTGTGCCGATGGAGACGGAGATGAGAGTGACGCTTCACAAGCCAACGAATACGGCAATCTCTAGGTGCTGGAAGAGAGTCTTTCCTGGAACCTCTAGACAGATCCAGGCCTGCCAATACCTTGATTTTAGCCTGGAAGACTCATTGAGGACTATTTTTTTCTGGAAATAAGGTCTCCTTCTGTCACCCAGGCTGGAGTGCAGTGGTGCAATTTTGGCTGACTGCAACCTCCACCTCTGGGGCTCAAGCAATCCTCTCACCTCAGCCTCCCAAGTAGCTGGGATTAAAGGTGTGCACCATGCCAGCTAATTTTTGTATTTTTTGTACAGGAGGGGTTTTGACATGTTGCCCAGGCTGGTCTTGAACTCCTGGGCTCAAGTGAGCTGCCTGCCTCCGGAAGTGCTGGGATTACAGTGCCCAACCCATTTAGGACTTCTGACCTCCCAAACTAAAGGGTAGATTTCAGTTGTGCCGAGCCACTGAGTGTGCAGTGATTTGTTAGAGCAGCCACAGGAAACTAACACAGGCAGTGTCAGCATCACACACCCACACCCACGGAGCACTCCCCAACACGGCGGCAGCAGCTCTGAGTAACCCCCTCGAGTGGCTGGGTGGGACTTGAACCCAGGCAGTCTGATTCCGGGGCTTCTAACTGCCAACTGCCTAGATGTATCGCCTCCGAACTAAGATTTCTATTTCCCAAAATA